GGGGGGTGAAGTTAAAAGTGCGTTATATTAGGCAAGAAATTTTTACTTTAAGAAAAATGTACCTGAGCTATTAGTGTCTCAACAGTGCTGGCTCCGGGTAAAGTTTGCGTCAACAACTTGTGTTCTGTCCTAAACAGTAAACAGTAAATAAAAAACAATAAAAAAATCATTAAATAAAAATATGAATTCTAATATATCATTATTTTCTAAGAGCTTAAAAAATTAAACAAATTATTTTTTTATTAATTTCTATAGCATTGTAGGCAAAAATTTTAAACTTGTCTTTGTCTAAAAAATTAAGGAAATTCATTATTGGTGGCATTTTTGACAAAACAAATGTATTTTACCTTTTAATCAAAATGTTAGGTCCAAGAAGCGGGGATTTAACGTGATAGAAGTTCCCCAATTCAGGTCGTCTTTGATCACACTGTAGAGTAAACATCTTTTGCAGCGCGGGATCTGAGCATAAACAAATTTAAATTTACATCTTAAAGGGACGTGGTGACGTCAATTCAAGATTAAGCACAACACCACCCTTAGAAGCTTTGTCTGATCTAGAGTTAATGTTATATTCATCATTTTCTCGCTGAAAATTGATTATTTTTCAATGGAGAAATTTTCAAGCCAAAAAAACAGCGACATCTTAAAAGGTAATGTTGTGAATCAGGCACGTCCAACTCTTTAAAAGGAGGATCACTTAAAACTACAAGGACAGTCCCTTTAAGAAATTAAAATAATTATTGTGAGTTTTATTTTTACATTTCAATTTTAAAAGATTGTAAGATACCTAAAAAATCTGTATTTTTGGATTGTGGAGGTTTTCCCACTTGCAGGTATCTTGGTAATTCAATCATCTTGGTTTTATAACCTTTGCTCCTGTCAGGGTCAATCAGTGGAGATCTTAAACAATATAAACTATAAAAAAGGAAATTATTATAATTTTTTAATTTTTAAATTGTAATAAATAGTTAAGAGTAAATCAATCATTCTTTTGTACAAAAAGTAAGTATCTGCAGTATTTTTGTTTAATGAAAATAAAGTTTCATTTGATACTTTCTTCACAATTCAATCAAAAAATAGAAATTTTAGTTTCTAATATTATTATTACACTATTTTACTTACTTTAATAGTTCCAGGTCAAATTTAAAGTACTTCAACCATGAATCCAGAGTATGATAGTAATTCGTCTAATAACAGACAGATTAGTAATTAAAATCAAGGTTTTGTAGGAATTATGTTGATTACTCTGATTATCAAATTAGTCACTAATTACCTTTATATCATTGATTGGATCGTTTCCCTTAAATCGGTACAGATGAACCTGAAAAATACACTGTTAAAATTGGTACAGATGAGCCTGTAAAATACACTATTAAAGTCGGTACAAATGAGCCTGAAATATACACTGTTAAAATCGGTACAGATGAGCCTGAAATATACACTGTTAAAATCGGTACAGATGAACTTGGATATACGCTGTTAAGACTCGGTGCAGCTGAACCTGAAGAATACACAAGTTCATCTTTAAACTAATTGTTAACAACACTGTTCCGTCCATTATCTGCATATTACTAAACTTTAAGCGCTTTCTTGACATTCTATTAACAATCCATAGTACATATGTATACTTATGAAGGGTGGATTTTATAATATTTTATATCAAATATTTCTTAACATTGAGGCCAATTATTTGACCTTTAGAATATGGTTATATACATTTTAAAGCAAGAAAATACATATTATTTAACCCAATATAATCTGTTATACTAAAATTATTTATGAATAAGCAACAAAATTTAGATCATTTTTTCTTTTTTAAAGAAACTGGTAAATTATTTAAAAGTAAGTTTAAATAAAACCAAGAAGTTTAAAGTATGATATAGTTTTAAATTTAGAAATAACCCACTAAATATTTAACGTACATCTTCAAACTTTTGACAATGTAAAACATAAAGATATTATTTCTGCCAGTAATATTTCTGATAACTATATTTCAACATCAAAGGAGCAAAAACTACTTTTTTAATCGAAGAAAGGTTTTTTTTGGAAAAAATAGCATCAGAAAAAATGTAAAATTATTTAGAAATTGCACTTGAAGGTCATATATCACGTAGAACTAACTACAAGTTCATCATGTTTGTATCGCAATATTTTCAGCCATATCTCTTACACACAAATGATGTAAGAGGCCTAATAGACAGGGTTACCCACAAAGGATGAGACTTCAGAGACGATTGTACGGATTTTCTTTATCCCGTTTTCTTACATTTGGGATACTTCTGTACTTAATTATTCAGTAAACCATTAATTAAATGCATAAACTAAAAGTCAAACTTCCAATTGTCATATTTTCGAGTTTTGGGTCGTCTTTGCAGTGTCTTCCTTTGTGGATATTCCTGTAGTTAACATTTTAAGCATTGGAAAAAAGCAAAAAATGGCAAAAACGAAAAGTCTACATTTAACCAGGACCTCTAGTTTACTGTGATTAATTATAATTATTTAACTAACCAGCGAGGGGGGATGTTAAAAATCGTTGAACATTGCACTGATCGCCATCTATGAATAAAAAAGTGAACTAACCAGCTGAGCCGGATCTGTGGATAAGTTTAATATTTGTAGATAATCTGGAACCATCCAACTTCCCAGCAGGGATTCATAGGGCCGACCCTAGATATTACAAATATTCTGATAATCGTTCAAAATACAGTGATAACCAGAAAACTCTGGAATAGGGAGACGACTTTCAGACTCAAATAATGACTCTATATAGTGCAATGAACTTGAGACAACACAATTGTGCGATGTAAAAAGGCCCAAATGACTTAAAATCTTATATAATTTACTCGAAAAATTATTTACTTTGTAACCGCATCAAATACTATTTATTATTGCTTTAATGTTGTCTTCCTACTCTACAGTTTTCTGGTTCTCACTGTAAGAGATTTTAATTTGAACGGAGCTACGATCGGAAATTTTGTATTGATATAATCTCGATATCCAGTGTGGGCACATTTAAGCTTTGAAGATCAATGCTTGATCTCCCCAGTAAAATTATCCCTGCAGACTATCAGTAGGTATGAAAAGCCTTTTTTCCCAATTTTAAACTATATATATTAAAATAAATTGGTATAAAAGGATATCGTGATTAGTCTAAATGTGATGATTATTATCAACAAATAAACAACATACTGTATCAACTGTGTGTCTTGTTTTCTTTGTTTGAAAGGATATGAGATTGGACTCTGTACGTAATAAAAAATATCAGAAAAACATACGAGTGTGTATCGTTCAATTCCTAAAAAGAGGGATATGAGATTTGAATTTGAAAATTTTAAACTGTGTGTCTTTTTTTCTCTGTTTGAAAGGATATGAGATTGGTCTCTGTACGTAATGAAAAATATCTAAAAAACATACGAGCGTGTAATATGATATTTCGAAAATGTTACCTCAATAATCAACACCCTAGAATCAGATANTTCTAGATCAGGGTTAGTATCTGATAATATACCTGGAATCCTATATTTCTAGATCAGGGTTAGTATCTGATAATATACCTGGAATCCTATATTTCTAGATCAGGGTTAGTATCTGATAATATACCTGGAATCCTATATTTCTAGATCAGGGTTAGTATCTGATAATATACCTGGAATCCTATATTTCTAGATCAGGGTTAGTATCTGATAATATACCTGGAATCCTATATTTCTAGATCAGGGTTAGTATCTGATAATATACCTGGAATCCTATATTTCTAGATCAGGGTTAGTATCTGATAATATACCTGGAATCCTATATTTCTAGATCAGGGTTAGTATCTGATAATATACCTGGAATCCTATATTTCTAGATCAGGGTTAGTATCTGATAATATACCTGGAATCCTATATTTCTAGATCAGGGTTAGTATCTGATAATATACCTGGAATCCTATATTTCTAGATCAGGGTTAGTATCTGATAATATACCTGGAATCCTACAAAGATTTCCAAATCAGGGTTAGTATCGGATAGCAGAGCTCCGAACGGAGTATAGACCAATTCTTTTATTACTTCCCCTGAAAAAGAGTTTATATAAAACTTAAAAGTATTCACCGTCCAAACTTTTTAAAAAGGGTATTTATAGATAGCCCTTACCCTGACCTGCCCAGCCCTAACCCTGACATGGCAATCCCTAACCCTGACATGCCAAGCCCCAAGGCATGCCCAGCCCTAACCCTAACCCTGACATGCCAAGCCCTAACCCTGACATGCCAAGCCCTAACCCTGACATGCCAAGCCCTAACCCTGACATGCCAAGCCCTAACCCTGATATGCCAAGTCCTAACCCTGACATGCTCAGCCCTAACCCTGACATGCCAAGCCCTAACCCTGACATGCTCAGCCCTAACCCTGACATCCCAAGCCTTTACCCTGACATGCCAAGCCCTAACCCTGATATGCCAAGCCCTAACCCTGACATGCTCAGCCCTAACCCTGACATCCCAAGCCTTTACCCTGACATGCCAAGCCCTAACCCTGATATGTCAAGTCCTAACCCTGACATGCCCATATCTTACATTTCTGATAAAAGTGAGTAAATTACCATTGGTGTTGAATAGATGAGTAGGAGTTCCTTGACTATTAGTAATCACCAAATATTCTTTATCCTCAACCTGTACTGATAACAGTAGTCCACACCTAGAATTAAAGTGACTGACGATTCACAACGTTACCCTCTAATCAAGACGAATATTCTTTTAGATAACAATTGATAATATATATATATAAAACAATTTACAAACAATCTAGTGGCAAATCCGATTCACATCGTACCTCATTCTGTTAATATTCTTTTTTGCCTCTATGTCAAAAATCCGAAACCTTTCTATAGATGAAGGGTCATTTATTCATGAATTATTATAAATAGTTTCGAAAATGTTTACCTTGTGTATGTTAAAGTAGTGACTTGTTTACTTTTAGAGTTGTACACATGAGTAACAAGCCAAGGATTTATTTCATCCATGTACAGTAGTGCAATTAGCGTTCCAGAAACCTGAAAACATGTACAGTAGTGCAATTAGTGTTCCAGAAACCTGAAAACTTGTACAGTAGTGCAATTAGTGTTCCAGAAACCTAAAACATTTACCGTAGTGCAATTAGTGTTCCAGAAACCTAAAAGTATGTACAGTAGTGCAATCTGTGTTTTAAACTTAGACTATTTGATCTACCAAAATCAATAGGTCTAGGAAAACGGGTTGCTAAGTTATGGGAATTAGAAAATCTGAGTTTATTCAGTTCCTTTCAGAAAATTGAATGTGTATTTGTTACATGTAAAGTTTTTACCTTATTTTCCATTTCTATTACTCGACCCTTCATGTCGTAAATCAACTCTGTGCTGAAATAAAAATAATAAATAATAATAATTCAGCCAGAATTTTAGTTAGAATTGGTTACTGCTATTGAAAAATTCTAAAATATTAAAGATTTGGTTGATCATTTAATATTTGCTTTTAATAATATGAAAAGATTCTAGGTCTTGATCTAAATGAACGTGTAAAATTTACTTCTTTTATGCTTAGTATATCTTTAATTGATAGTAGTTGCAACATCTGTATTTTTTAATATATTTAATTTGATCAAATACTAAATTTACTAATACCAGTGGCCGAATTTAAAGAATTTGAGCGGCGGTTTAAATTTAAGCCGCGGTTTAGATATGGTTGGTTCCACTTAAAATTGTATCAAATATTTAAGCCGGCGCTAAATTTATACCGGGTTTTGGCGGATTTTGGCGGATTTAAACCGCGGCTTAAATTCTTTAAATTCCATCTCTGAATGATTTACCTAGAATGTACTCCATAGTACAGATGAATCAGCTGATTTAGTTGATTATACTTAAATCTGTACTCTTCTCTTCAATCATATTTACCTAGAATGTTCTCCATAGTACAGATGAATCAGCTGATTTAGTTGATTGTACTTAAATCTGTACTCTTCTCTTCAATCATATTTACCTAGAATGTACTCCATAGTACAGATGAATCAGCTGATTTAGTTGATTGTACTTAAATCTGTAATCTTCTCTTTATTCATATTTACCTAGAATGTACTCCATAGTACAGATAAATCAGCTGATATAGTTGTTTGTACTTAAATCTGTACTCTTCTATTCAATCATATTTACCTAGAATGTACTCCATAGTATAGATGAATCAGCTGATATAGTTGATTGTACTCTTCTATTCAATCATATTTACCTAGAATGTACTCCATAGAACATTAAAATCAGCTGATTTAGTTGATTGTACTCAAATCTATACTCTCCTACTTCAACCATATTTCCTGTCTCACTGTACAGAACCTGTTCAAGTGCATGTACAGAAAAATGAAAATTATAAGTTTAGTTTTTCAAAACTGATATAGAATTAAAAAAATCATTTATGTTCTCAAATTGCCAAAAAGAACCCAATGCCCTAAACATTCACATGTTTTTAAAACTGTTTACAATAAAACAATGGTTCCCAAAATATTCATATATTTCCCAAAGCATTAACGATTTTCCCAATACATTCTGAAATGTATCCCATGTTGATATTTGACAATTGATATCATACATTACATACCTTTCCGAATTCCAGAACAGGACTAGTAAAATAGGTATTTTTGTTTAAAGTGCCCAGCATCACGAATTTGCTTTGATTTTCAAATAACTGTAAAAATATGTCTATATATATGATCCAATCTATCGAGTGAAAAGTTAATTCATGTTTTTTACTCAACAATTTTTAAACGCAAAATTGTAAATTTGATATAAACTGAATCCGAATATTTTTTTCATCTCAACTATTCCCCCCTCCTAGTCTCCTTACTCCCTTCAAAAGCTTACCTTATTAAACCCCCCGTTGACGACTCGTTCCCCGAATTCATACTGAAATGTTGAGTTGCCTATTCCATAATCAACATGGATAAAATTCCCATTATCATCATATCCATATGACCAGCTTGCTCCAGGGGTAGTCCTAGTAAACTCATCTTTACATTGATACTTTTAAAAATTAGCACATGCTATGACAGTTTCTTATGAATTCGATTGAAATTAATGTTAAAATGTTAATTGAGTTGCCTAATTGTGCTGATGTGTCCATTTGTAGTATATGTAAAGCTTGTAATTGTTGGTTGAGAACTCATTTTTTCGGAGATCTTAGTAATTTGTCCTATACAGTTGTACTCTGTTGCCCTTGTGTATATGGGGTTATTTTTCACTTTTAACTCAACCCTCTCCTCGTTTCCATATATATCCTCAACAACCTTCAGCTGCAGCTCATGCTTTGAATAAACAAGGGTGTGAAGAGATGCAGTTACAGAGATTTCATTGTATTTTATTTCTTTTTGATTTCTCACATCAAATTGTTTCTGGAAGCTGATAGATTTATCATATAGCGTTCCATTACAGTCAATACTAACCATGTTTGTATCATCCTTTTGTGCACAGTTATATTCAAATATAGTGCTGTTTTCTTTATGGAAGAAACTCAATACCCCATTTCTGGTATATTTATACGCTGTTTTCATATTTATTCCAGAAACTAAATCTTGAACCAGCTGACTCTTAGTGCTAACTAGCAAGGTTTCTGTGAGTATAGCTGAATGGGTGATTACTTGAGTTCTTGAACTATTCTGTAAATATTGGACAGCTTCATGTCCATTGGTAATCCTTAGCAACATCCCGTTGAAATCTAGATCAAATCTTAGACCTGAATCAAGCCAGGGAGGTTTAAAATACAAGGCATAATGTCCCAGGACTGCTTGCATATGAAAGTAAAACTGATGACCTAAAGGAGTGGATATTGATTGAAGTCCTCCAATATTATCATGCTGAAGTTTATATTCACTTTGGTTCTTCCATACCTCACTTGGATAAGTTGAGTCATTGTAGTTGTAGGAGTACGATAAGATAGTATTGTAACAGTTACTAATCGTACTTATCCTGCCCTGAGAATCATATTCAAGGAGTTCTTTTTTCCCTGCCCACTCCCAGAGAGTTGGTCGACCTGCTTTGTCGTACTGCTGATCAACCCAATGCTGGGCTGGGTAGGGTAGATAGAAGGTTCTCTTAGGTACATTATAATGCTCTATTTTAAGAAGCTGCGTTCCATCCTGGTAGATTGATTGCAGCATGCTTCTTGGATGGAGTTCCGATGTGAACAATTCAACTCCATTAATAAGGAATCGTTTTCCAATGCCATCTACATTATTTCCAAATGATGATCTTGAGTTGAGAACATGAATAAAATATCCCCAGTTAGTTCTATGCTTAGTTGTACTATTGTACACAAGATCTCTAGTGGAAGGAAGGGGATTCAGTAGATATTCGAAATCATACAGTCCTTTTACCAGCTCATTCTCCTGCTTTTTAACAACTGCAGTATATAATGATGTTGGTTCTATCAGCATTGTTGGGGGAACAGGAGTTAATCTGTCAACTAATTCACCAGATAAACCATATTCAAAAACACTTTGAAACTTCCCTCCTGTAAATATACGGTTTAGTAGCCCTGAGTTGTCTAGGTATTTAAACACATGAACCAAATTGTCAGGTGACCGTAGAAATTCCAAATTATTCCTCTTATCCGCTTTTACTTCATATACCTTCCCGGTTGGCAAGAGAATGGAAAACCCTTTGTCAGGATTTTTAACTAACGCCACCACATTTGAATTTGTATCGCTAATCCGCATAACTGATTGAGAGTCTTGGAAAAATGCATATCCAGTTGCAGAAGCAAACACGCCTCTGGTCTGCAGATGTATCCCTCTCTCATCAAAAACAAACAGTTCTTGTGTTTCAACAGATAATATTTCATATCTATTCTCTGGGTTCAGCTTTGGGAGATGGTTTCTTATCAAACTGATCTGATGACTTGCTTCATCTGCCACGTATAAAGCCCCATCTGGTCCACTGCAAATATCACTTATCCCTGAGAATCTAGCTTTTGAACCTGTTGAAATAATGTGATTGAAATCTGAAATCATGCACCCATTTTCTTGTCGCTTACAATATGCAAGAGATCCAGCTATCTCACGGATTTCACCAGTTTTATCACTTTCATAAATTCTATTTTTTTCATCTACCAAAATCAATTGCCCCTGATGAGTATAACTCAGACTTTTAGGAAGAAATTCTAGTTTTGATCCCTTACAGCTTGCCGATAGGAGCTCAGTCAGTCTTCCATTTAGATCAATCTCTAGCACTGATCCCTGGTCAACTATACCCACTATATTTTCAAGTTTATTCACAGCTAGATATGTTGGCCAGTTTAGATTGGCATCCCTTGCCTCCCTTTCAGATCCACACCTTTGAGGTTTCCATTCAGAGGCTAGTTTATGGGCTCCAGCTACAGTTTCTACCGTCCCATCAAGATTTAATATTCTTAGAGATGTTCCATCAATGAATATGAGTTCACCGTCCCTCATAAATCCTAGTCCTTTAGGGAAGACAAGCTTGGCATGCCTGAACAACAGGAAAAGTTTCAATACTAAGAATTATCCACCATAAAGAAGGATTTTGTTGTTTTAAGAAAATTGAATTTCTGAAAATAAATACCCTTGAATTTCTTTACCTGGCTTCTTTCCCATCTCCACAATCAGTCTCATCATTAACAAGACATTTTCCCAGTCCACCCAACACAACCTTAATATTTTTAGTCTCTATAATAATAATGATATCCCAGAAATGAACATTTTTTGGCTTAAAAAGTAATAGCTTGTCTAACTTGAACTGCCATTTCAAGAAATGGTTAGTAGCCACCTTATTTCTGCTAAACTAAAAAGAAAAAAGTCGTATAGGAAAGATTGAATTATTCAGCGAATTTAGTTGTTTGATTTTTTAAGCCTTGCAAATTGGAATAAGCCACAATATGTTATTTTACAGCATTGACTCTACTATTACTTAAAAGTAAATGAAATCATAATCTTTCGTGGGGGAATTTTTTGACACATTGACTCAAAAAATCATATTCACTACAAAATAGTATTTAACAATGAAACCCAAAAAATTCTCTCCATTTTTGTAATATTTTCCAAAATATGACAAATGATATTTCAAAAAACCTGTGCTGGAAATTCAACCTTCTCCAAACATGGCAAGAAGAAATGAACCCATTTCGCTGAAGGATTTAAGTTTGGACTCAACAAGGTGGTTTTGATTATATAGAATATATATATATTGAATATATAGAATTTGAGAAATTATTAATTTTAAAAAAGTGATTACCTGAAAATTGTTATGAAATAAATCTCTGGCTCTAGTCTGTGTATCTATCTTGATGATTCTAAAGTTAGTTGGATCTGACATATAGATAAACTGCTCAACAGGGTCCAGAGCTAGATAATATCTGTTCAAAGCACTGCTGCTGTTTAAGCGAAGGAGATCTGTAGCTCGGCCTGAAAACATGCTTAACTTGGTTCAAAATTTAGTTTTTACTCATTTCTATCATAGAATAAATCAGTACTAACCCTTGTCATAGGAGCCGATCACTTGCCTTCATCTTTAATTTTCTTATTTGTATATCTTAGCAACTTAATTTTACTAACCTTTTTCAAACCATGAATTCTTCTAGATTGATTAGTCAAAAATGGAAAAATCAAAGGTTTGCTCAGGCTCTTCAAAGGAGCAAAAATTTGGGGATTAGAAAATTAGAGTTTGATGTCAGTATTCAGTTCCTTAGAAAAGTAAATACAGCAATAAACAGAAAACAATGAAATAGGAAGACGACATTATAGCAATACTTGAGTTTATTTGATGCTGCTTATTGGACTTTTTATACTGTTATATAGTTTTAAATATTTATAGTTGAAAGTCGTCTTCCTTCACTGTAAAAAATACAATTAAAAGATAAGATTTCAATAAAATTCAATAATTTAGTTAAGTTTGCCTAAATGATCAATTTTTCTGATGAATGTTGAATCCCCAACATAAATATTTCCTTCTCCATCAGCCAACATTGCCTGGGGTCCGATAATTGTCTACACCAGAAATTTCAATAATAAAGGAAATTTTTCGGAGACTTTAGAGTTAACTTTGCGTCTACTGTAATATTGGACCTCTAGGGTAGATGTTATATGAGAATATTTAACAATGCTTTTAATAAAAATTTTAGGTTCCTTGGTAAAATTTTCATTTAGTCTAATAACCAATTTCTCTCGACTTTCCTAAACATAAAAAATATTTCAATATATATTATGATGATTAAAATGCGATTTTTTATTGGGACATTTATGTCATAAATTCTTTTCCTGAATAAATTTTTTGACTTTTTGTTATGGGTGGAGGCCATAGATAAAGATAGATTGCACATAAGACGACATTTTTCATCTTGAAAGATATAATATACAGAGATGTTTTAAAGATATTCCTATTATATAGATTAACTAGGTCGGTTGTGAATATTGGCTGTTCTTATGTCATTGAGTACTTGTGGTGAACATGAGTTCTGTAGAGAGAAATTTAAGTTAGTTTAGTCCTTATCATGTCCTTCTTCAGTTCTCGTCAATATGATATATTGCTCAGTGAAATAAAATTTAATCCTGAGTGGTTTAATAATAATGAAATCCATTGAAACACCAAACCACCCCGCTTATCATTGAAGTACACTTTGACCCCTAGAAGTATGAGTTCGCGGACTGTACTATTCTTGGTGATTTTGCGTACATAAGCTATCTATGTCATTTATTTATCTATGGTGGAGGCCTTAAAAAGGTAATTTATTTTATGAAAAGAATAAGATATACCCTGCATGGACATTGATGTTGATATCAAATAATGATTGAATAATTTGAGTAATTTTCTTTACCTTTAAATCGATAACATCCCCGTCACCTTTGTAAAGAATAGCATCCTTAGCATTGTACCTAATCAAAATATAAATCTAAATTCAATCAAATCATTTTGAAAAAGTGAATTTAAAATAACATCTTAAAAATTCAGCCTGTACAAAAAAACTTTTAAGAATCGGGGTTTTTTTTTAAAGAAATAGTTCTACATTTTCTATACAAAAAATACTTGCGAATTTATGCAGCAGAGTCAAAGAAGGATCGTCCGATTAAAGCACTTTTAAGATAAATAAAGAGACAATAGCAATATAGCTTCCTCACTGTTGCCTAACTGAAATCTTAAAAGGTCCTTGTGGAGTGGATCAAGCATGCCATTCTTTAATTGGAAGGTCAGCTACAATTATATTAACAGTCTCTGTAAACTTGGTTTGGAATAAAGTGCGGTTTATTGTTCATTTTGACCTTATATGACTGGTTGTTGATAGATTTATTGATTAATTGATTGAAAGATTGATTAGATTGTATCCCTGTGTAATATATCAAAGCTCCATCCTGGGAACAGCTGTTGTCGCCAAGGGGACGGTGAATCACCGTGAAGTGTAACTAGTTGAAATCTCCAAATAATATCCGGACACATCTTGTATTTGTATCCGATACGCACCTCGGCAGTTGTCTACAAAATGTGAGAATTTACAAAAAAAATATTCCAAAAAATACACAATAGTTCATTCCTCAAGCCATTAATTCACAAAAGGTTTAGTTGAAAACTGCTTTTAAAACAGATATACTTGATCACTTCATAGTTTTAATCAGATTAAAGGAATTGGCTAAATAATTTCATTATTTTTGTTACATACTTTCTTCAAACTCTAATTTTCTAATCTTATATTCAACCTGATGTGTCGTAGACCTTTAATATTTAAAACTATGAATTTAAACCTGTTAGATCAAATAGACAAAGTTTTCTATATCAAAGGTTTACATTATCAAGGACGGAATTTTATGAACTGGAGGGAGGTTGCTGAACTACCTACTGATCACTTGTATAAGTCTTGAATCACTGATTTAAAGTTCAATCAAGAGACAGGCCGTAGTATATGCCGTACTCGTAAAACTGCTTCTAGATCTGTATCAATCCAGGTACAACTCGGCAGCTATGTCAACATGGGACACAAGCTCTTAAGCGATCAATGCCTAACTAATGGACACGATCTTATCAGCTATCAATGTCAACACGGACACAAGCTCAGCTCGTATGTTTTAACAAGGACCAAATTACTCTATCAATGTAATCAAAAAGGTGCCTATGCCAACTAATTTGAATTTAGAGATCTTTGTTACAAGTTAAAGTAAATCGACATAATTACAAGTTTTACGTCTAAATATATATACAGCGTAGTTTAAGAATAATGTACATATGTAAAAGATTAGCGCGGATATATAAGCGTAGTAAAGCCAGTCACTGGCGTAGTTATAAGTTAATCACAATACAGGTTTACAGATATAGCTAGGCTAATCGCAATACAAGTTTTGTTTAGTTAATGATAAACGCATTTGGGTTGACAATGTACAACGTAATATATCTAGGTATGTTCAGGTTAACAAATATGGAGATTGCTGTATTTATTACAAGGTGGTCCATTATTAAAGTTTGAGTGTAAAGTGAATATTTCTGAAAAGGTGTTTTACCTGTCCATATACTTTTCTTCCATAGGCGTCTCTTTTATTCCAGATAAATTCATAATTCAAGTTCTTATCTACTTCATGTACAGAGTTATGTACAACACCTTCAACACTTATCCTGTAATAAATATAGATATAATTCTTAATTATTTCATGTACATAGTNAAGGACTTGATGACCTCATAGCTTCTATAGTTTTTGAATTTATCCAGTTAGACGTTAGAAATTCAAAACATTTTTCATCTTCTCAAAAGGTCTTTAAAAAAAAGTTTCAGTCTTACGTGCATTTAACCTTGACTAAGCTTTAGGTGTGTACTGTAGTAATATGCTGTACACTGACGTTCAGTGGACAGTGCATGATTTACTTTAGTTTGACGTACGTGTGCTGTTAAACTGGTTTCTTACCTTGTATAGATAGAGAGTAAAGAGCTTGGATAAGAATCTCCAAGAAGTTGTATTCGCATTTTTGGGTAGTATCCCTTTATAAACAATCCTTGGCATTTTATGTTTGTGTTGATATCTACATTTTTATTCATTTCTTTGTTCATGTTCATGTTCATGTTCATGTTCATGTTCATGTTCATGTTCATGTTCATGTTCATGTTTATGTTTATGTTTATGTTTATGTTTATGTTCATGTTTATGTTAGGGTCCTTGTGGAGTGGATCAAGCATGCCATTCTTTAATTGGAAGGTCAGCTACAATTATATTAACAGTCTCTGTAAACTTGGTGTTGGAATAAATTGCTGTTTATTGTTCATTTTGACCTTATATGACTGGTTGTTGATAGATTTATTGATTAATTGATTGAAAGATTGATTAGATTGTATCCCTGTGTAATATATCAAAGCTCCATGCTGGGAACAGCTGTTGTCGCCAAGGGGACGGTGAATCACCGTGAAGTGTAACTAGTTGAAATCTCCAAATAATATCCGGACACATCTTGTATTTGTATCCGATACGCACCTCGGCAGTTGTCTACAAAATGTGAGAATTTACAAAAAAATATTCCAAAAAATACACAATAGTTCATTCCTCAAGCCATTAATTCACAAAAGGTTTGGTTGAAAATTGCTTTTAAAACAGATATACTTGATCACTTCATAGTTTTAATCAGATTAAATTTATCTAGGTATGTTCGGGTTAACAAATATGGAGATTGCTGTATTTATTACAAGGTGGTCCATTATTAAAGTTTGAGTGTAAAGTGAATATTTCTGAAAAAGTATTTTACCTGTCCATATACTTTTCTTCCATAGGCGTCTNACAAATAATAATAATAATAATAATAATAATAATAATAATAATAAAAGTAATATTGATAATAATAATAATAATAATGCGTTTTTTTTTTAATTTGACCTGATGATCTATGCAGAAGAATGTAGTTCGAGGGGTTGAAGTAGGATTATTTTTATATAATTTTATTTCATCCATAATCTTTATCTAAAAAAATAGGATTAAATGATATTTGTGATGAAAGGTCTACCAAGGTTTAAGGTACACTCTAAAATGTTTGACCCGTAACGACCAATATTAGCCAGTAGTCAGATTTTTTACGTAAAACTAGTCAGAAATCACTAATTCAAATATATTTGGGGATTAAGTTAATTCTTTTCTGAAATCACAATAGATCTGACAGATCAGAACCAACTATAGATCAGAACCACAACATATTTTCTCAGTTTATCAATTAAATAGGATTCAGCTGTTTTTCATGGATTAAAAATTAATTGGGGATTAACGCTATATTGCATATAAAAGTTACGACTTCAGTTTAAATATTTTATTTTATACTTTCAGAGCGCTTCGCGCCCATATTTTATTTTAAGTGTGAATATTTTCTCTTTGTATACATTGCAAAACATAAACCAAAAGAAATTCGCGGATTTCATCAAAAAAAAATTTGTAGATTTTCAAAATTTATTGAAAATTGAATTTTGTTGTAGACTAATTTTTGAAATTTTGATCATTCATAAGGCTTCCCTGGGGTCATGTCAGGTCCCACACAAAATTAAGATCGGATCGGTTCAGCCGTTTGACGTTTCACAGACAGACAAGCAAAGTACATATGTATATTGTACATAGAATTCATTATTCATATAAATCTATGTCATGCATGATGCAATATCAGGATTATTTTTATATAATTTTATTTCATCCATAATCTTTATCTAAAATAATATGAATAATCATATTAAGTATATTTGTGACGAAAAGTCAAAGTTTAAGGTATACACTCAAAAAATGTTTGACCCGGCACGACCAAGAAGCCAGAAGTCAGATTTTTCATGTAAATCTACTCAGAAATCACTAACTCAAATATATTTAGGGATTAAGTTAATTATTTTCTGAAATCACAATAGATCTGACAGCTAGATCAGAGCCACAACATTTTTTCTCAGTTTAACAATGAAATACGATTCAGCCATTTTTCATGGATTAAAAATTAATTGTAAATTACTTTCAGAGCGCTTTGCGCCCATATTCTATTTTAATTGTGAACATTTTCTCTTTGTATACATTGCAAAACATAAACCAAAAGAAATTCGCGGATTTCATAAAAAAAGAATTTGTAGATTTTCAAAATTTATTGAAAATTGAATTTTGTTGTAGACTAATTTTTGAAATTTTGATCATTCATAAAGCTTCCCTGAGGTCATTTCAGGTCCCACACAAAATTAAGACCGGATCGGTTCAGCCGTTTTGACGTTTCACAGACAGACAAGCAAAGTACATATGTATATTGTACATAGAATGCATTATTCATATAAATCTATGTCATGCATGATGCAATATCAGTTAGATTACTCGCCAAAAAAAAACCTTAAATTATTTTCTTATACCAAATTTGTTATTTTAAATTTTGACTTTTTGATAGTTCAAAATTCATAGTTTAAATATAAGGTGTTCTACATCAGGTTGCAAAGATATAATGATGAGAAAATCAGATTTTGTGACAAGTAATCAGTTAATTTTTTAACCTTAAAAATGTTTTCTTTTACCTCATTCCAGGAGAGAAAAATACTGTTTGTTGCAGGGGAAAACGGACTTTTACCAAACCTAAAACATTAACAAGCAAAATCAGGTACCCTGGGGCCTGGATATCGGATTCAATAAAATCAAAGCTGGAGGAGCTCATAGGTCATAAAGTTGTACCAACACTACAGTTTCAGTAGACGTAAATATTTCCATTTACTGATAGCGCCAATTAAAGGATTCATAACTAATTGGATGATGAGATAGATAGAAAGATAGATGTTACCGCCAGACTATTTCTATTGGTTCAGAATAGACAACAAACACATGGCTGAACCCTGATTGGATCAGGCATAATGGACTTGGCAAACAGGAGTGAGGGGCCTGGATATCGGATTCAATTGCAAACCCCCCAATGTGTAACGTCAAAATGTAACATCAAATTGTTAAGACTTGCTTTGGGCATTTTTTTCAGTTACAAAAAATATTGAATAAAACTGTTCCTCACTAATGTTTGCCATGATTTTAAAAATAAATATTTTGTATGAATTTTTACTGTAATATATTTATGAAAAGTTAATTCAAGAAAACTTCAAAAAATACAAATTTCTTTGAAAGTTTAAATATTGGATTAAACCTGAATACAAAATCAAAAAATATTTTTATAGATAAAAAGGTTACCTAAGAGTAACGAATCCTCCGCCATTAACTAGAATATCAAACCAACCATCACTCCTAAATATTAATATTTAGAATTCAAATATTAATTATTTTTAATCGTCTAAAGAAACAGGCTCCCTAGGCTCCTTCCCCTTGAGGGTTACATCTCAGTAGTTAGAGGGGGTTACTGATGGGTTTAGTGACTTAACATAGTCACGTTAATTCACTGCACACTTAACAGATAGAGAAGGTCAAATTTATGCGACATCACGACATTGTGACCTCGTAGCTTCTCTAGTTTTGATTTTATGCGACATCACGACATTGTGACCTCGTAGCTCCTCTAGTTTTGATTTTATGCACAAATATAGAAAAAAAAGATTTGAGGCCGAATTTAAAGAATTTGAATTAAAGATGCGGCTCAGGTTGGTTTCACTTAAAATTGCAATCAATTTTTTAAGACTTAAGCCGGCACTCAATTGAAACCGGTATTTGGGGGATTTGAGAAGCGGCTTAAATTCATTAAAATGGGTGAAATCGTTAAAAGCGGTGACAGACCCTTTTTTACCATGTTTACATTCTGACAACTGTATTTTAATTCAAATTTAGGCGACATCACTGGTACGTTTTTTCTTCTCAGTAGCTCTTTTATACCTGGTAAGGGTGAACCCCTGGCCCCTAGCTCCTGATACAGATACCCGGACCCCAACCAGACCTTCACCCCGTTCTGTGAGAACCTGGCCACGTATTATAGAGACTCGTCTGAAAACAAACAAATAACAAATTTTAACAGGAAAAAGCAACTGATTACTCGTAACAAACTGTTAATTTCTAATACTTACAGGGTGGCCCGAAAAAAAAACGGGATAAGTTTTTTCATCCTTTGAGAAAGAAAGAGGGCTCTAGTATAAAGTACGTTTTACGTCAAACAGAAGCAATGGACCACAAACTGTTACTTAAACGACCCTTTCTAAAAAACTCACACCTAAGCACTTTTTCGAGTCTTTTTTAAGGACTTTTTGGTCCCAACTGCATATTTTTGCAACCTGATATTTCTATACTACAACTAATTGATCAATCATAATTCATAATTCAGGTTGCAAACATGCGAGATTAGAAAATTAAAGTTTGTGACAAGTGTTTAGTTTTTTAAAAACTATTATCCTGTATGGTTAGAAATATTTTTTCCAGAAAATCTTCCAAGATTTTTGTAAAAATATAACCTTGAGAAAAGTTTCAAATTTTGAGAAACATTCTTCTTTTATTAGATTGAAAATTAGGAGGAATTCTTTTTAAAATGATAATCCATAACATTTTGATAAAAACATTCACCTTGGATCGAATTCTTGGATATTTGCATAGCTTTGAACGGATCCTTTCTCAATGAGGAACTTGTTCTTGTCAAAGAACGAGACAAACTCCTCCTGTTCCTCGTCCCTCTTCTCACCTTGCTCCTCTAATCTGGAGACAAATCCATAAAATTCAAAGAACAACAAAAATCACAATGTCATGTCATTTAAATGTTGATGTGGATTTTTATGACTTCAATACAGAAATAATGAACTTTTCCCTTTTGGAATTTGGATACAGAATAAATGACGGATTACATATCTGGGACGGATAACTACCTGGATACAGGATCAGGGACGGATAACTACCTGGATACAGGATCAGGGACGGATAACTACCTGGATAAAGGATCTGGGACGGATAACTACCTGGATACAGGATCTGGGACGGATAACTACCTGGATACAGGATCTGGGACGGATAACTACCTGGATAAAGGATCTGGGACGGATAACTACCTAGATACAGGATCAGGGACGGATAAATTCCTGGATACAGGATCTGGGACGGATAAATACCTGGATACAGGATCAGGGACGGATAAATACCTGGATACAGGATCTGGGACGGATAAATACCTGGATACAGGATCTGGGACGGATGAACAGTACTGACTCCGAGCACAAGACTCACTCCAGCAACATTCAGGATCCTCACAATCCACTAGTCCGTCTACAATGAGGTTTGAGGTACCACAATAAAAAATGGTACGTTATAGCTTCTGTCTGGCAAAAGATATTAACCTTTAACAAATCGTTTAACATATTTTTACCGTTCATCTTCTGAAAGATTAAATGTAGATAATCTAATTAAAGCAAACTTATTGAGCAGGCAATTTTGAAATGGAATAAGCATCACCGATTATTTTAGCAATCTCTTAAAAGTAAAAAAACCTTCAATTCTTTAAACTAATTAAAAAATTATGCCCATCTCTAATCCTAATTGTAAACCTACAGGTTGTCCCACCAAACATCGTGATGATCGTCTATGATTTTTGAAAATTTCCGGTAATTTTGAGAGCACAAAAAAGACAGACCACATTTGGGAAATGCCAGGATTATTTTGTGATCATTGGTTCGCAAATTTTACTTGAAGAACTTGGTGGACGTATTAATGCTGCAAATATTTCAAATTTCAAAGACTATCTTTAAGCTGTCATGTTTCGGGGGACACCCTGTACCTTCGTCATCATCTAAACCATTATCACAGCTGTTCTCTATAGGGATGGAACAGGAGGGTCCATACCAACCAGCTGAACAGGAACAGGACCATATCTTGCTGTTCTTCACACAACTGTTACAATAAAAAGTGTGTTAATGTTACAACAAAAAATCAATTTTGCGAAAAAATCCTTAGTTTCGTCCAAAAAAATCAGAATTATAATAACTATCGAATTTACGTAATTGATTATATTTGCTCATAGAAAAACTAACTGAGAGTGATTTTTATAAGTCCTTTTTTTTAATGTCCACCAAAGCAAAACAAGGTACAACAAAAAGATAATTTTTATTTTTATTAACTCGTTATAATATGCCATTTGAAAGAAATTAATTATCTCCATTATTGTTAATCTTTCTCTGCTTAAAGGGGCTATTGAGGAAAAATTAAAGGGGGTATAGGCTGAAACCTAAGCACTTTAGGAGTTGATCGCGACCTCTATGAGTTCTATCTGATGTTCCTGTCTCGAGAAATTAATATAAACTGTGTTAAAATTATACTCATATTTAGAAAATACGCACCGAATCTGAAAAATTCAATAACCCAGAGAAGCCTAAACAGCTAAGGTACGCTTCTATTTTAATTTGAATATATTACTTATTCATTTTTTGTTAGATATAATTGATAATATAACTGTTGATACGTCTGTATCATGTGACCAGGTCACCAGAATTTCCACCAATGGCAGAGCAGTATCATTGTCACGTGTCTCCGTTTGTGTCACATGACAATGACATGACATGATGGGCTATCTTTACTATTAACAACGTCTTTAACAAGAAATGACCTGCCATGCCCCGAGCAGGATTGAGGACAGTAGTCCAGTGTACAGTGGGTACCTCCCCAACCTTCATCACATGAACACACACCTCCCTCACATGTACCGTGTACTGTACATCTTAACAGAATAAACTTGATTTCACGGTGTTGGCCATCTTTTCACTTTCAAGCGGCTCCATAAAATCAGAGAAATTTTAAAATTCTATGAATTTACAAGTTGGCTTTTTTCCTCTGTAGATTTTTTTTTGAATTTTTAATCTAGTAAATTTTGCGTAAATCACTGAAATCTATAAATCCCTGAATTTTAGACAAGCGGATGGAGAGAAGTATGCCCAATACTGCAGTTTAGTTTGACTGCAACACACAAAATAAAGAAGAATTTTAACATTCTTGTAGAGATAAGTTTTAAAAAATCTAATTAAACGGACTGATTAGGCGCAATTTCAGGTCTTTTCTCGTTGGATTATTTTTGATTGTGTGTTCTCAGAGACAATGGAGGAAGTTGTTAATGTTAAACATTTTTCAAACTGGAAAATTGACGAAATTCTTCACATTAATGATCAACTAAATTCAGCTTTGAAGGCTACTGTTGTAATAAAGAGTCTCTTAAATTACGTCCACACTCCCTTTTATGAAAATTTAAAACAAAAAATACAAATTTAAGTGTTTCTGGAGAAAATATTTAAAATAGAGGTTATAAGAGAGTTTCCATTAGACAATTCACTCTTTCAATTAAGAGTAACTTTAAATAACGTTTACAGTCCATATTAAAAAATTAAATATATTGGTCACCTTGGATCACACATCTTTATAGAGCAGGATTCTCCCTCCCAGCCTTTGTTGCAGATACACACACCAGCCTCACACAACCCGTTCACACATTCAAGTGTACACTCATCTATACTCACAATACTCTTCAAACGGGGTTATGTACATATTGTTCATGTACCACCACAAAATTCCTTTTTTTGTTCGACTAAAATTGTTTTGTTTTTAATCAAATTTTTTTGAGAACATTCTTTAATAAAGATTTTTATCTCACAAGTTCTTTTTTGTATTTTTTTTTATAATTTAAAAAATAAATACAACGTACTGCAGTCATAATTCTGATCTAAACGGAATGAACGTTTTTGAAAATCTGCCATGAACATTTCCAGAAATATAGCAGTCACTTACAACTGTAACAAACTAATTTTATGATAAAAAATTTAAACAAAGACGACTTCAATTCTGCTTTTTACTTGTTATGAATATATAAACAGCTGAATTAAAATTATAAATTCATATTAAACCTGGCTGAGACTGTATTTGCATCGGGCAAACTGTTTCTAAAGAAAGAACAGGTTCAGAACAATTTTCTCCACCCCACCCTTGGAAACAGGAACAGGTTCCAGATACATCACATACACCCTAGATACATGTACATTGTTGATACATCACGTACACCCTAGATACATGTACATTGTACATACATCACATACACCCTAGATACATGTACAATCTACATGGTACATACATCACATACACCCTAGATACATGTACAATCTACANAAGTGGCTTAAAATCCACAACGGTGCAACAGCGCTCTAGATTTTCATCTAAAAAAGTTTAGCTACTATGGAAGCAAAGGAACTGAAAAGTTCAAACTCTAACCTCTACTTCTGATATATTTGAAACCTATTGGTGCAGAATTCAATCAAATGTCTTAGACCTGGGATTGCAAAAGCATAAGATATTACCTTACTACAGTTGGGAAAGGTTCTAGTTTAATTTTACCTTGCTACAGTTGGGGCAGGTTTTGGTTTAATATTACCTTACTACAGTTGGGACAGGTTCTAGTTTCATTTTACCTTGATACAGTTGGGGCAGGTTTTGGTTTAATATTACCTTACTAAAGTTAGGGCAGGTTCTAGTTTCATTTTACCTTGCTACAGTTGGGGCAGGTTTTGGTTTAATATTACCTTACTACAGTTAGGGCAGGTTCTAGTTTCACAAAATTGTCCTGTATAACCCTCCGAGCAATTGCAATGCAATCTATAACAAAATCTAATTAGTTTTTTTACATCGGGGATTTGTGTTATTTTTTTATTATCCATTTTAAAATCCATGAAACCGATTTTTTTATTTTATTAACGCGGGAGAAACATTTTCTATTTACCAATTTGTAATTCATAATTTATAATTTAAAAATTGAAATTTGTAATTTATAGTTTATAGTTTATAGTTTATAGTTTATAATTTATAACTTATAACTTATAACTTATAACTTATAACTTATAACTTATAACTTATAACTTGTAACTTGTAACTTGTAACTTGTAACTTGTAACTTGTAACTTGTAACTTGTAACTTGTAACTTGTAACTTGTAACTTGTAACTTGTAACTTGTAACTTGTAACTTGTAACTTGTAACTTGTAACTTGTAACTTGTAACTTGTAACTTGTAACTTGTAACTTGTAACTTGTAACTTGTAACTTGTAACTTGTAACTTGTAACTTGTAACTTGTAACTTGTAACTTGTAACTTGTAACTTGTAACTTGTAACTTGNTTGTAATTTATAATTTATAATTTGTAACTAACCTTTTAAACTGTAATTTGTCTTGATCCCAAACACAATCCCCTCTCCCAGTACACAGCTCCTCTCCACACTTCTCCAGTCTAGGTTAAGTAAAATACTTATATTTATTATGATACGTTTTGATCCAGGGTTGGTATGGTTTTCAGATGCATTTTCACAAAAATGAAAAATGTCTGCAATTTAAAAAGGGCTGGGCACGTTCCAACTTTTAAAAGCCGTTTCGTTAACGGTTAGTTCCAACCGTTTTCTCAGTTGTTAGTTTTAGAGGGTAAAAACAAAACTTCATTAACGGTGAATTTCTTTTTTTTTAAAGTCAATATTAGTTAACGATCTCAATTATTTTAATGGCGTTAATAGAAATTTTCAACAATCGTTAACGGCTCCAGTCGTTTCGTTTCTACAGAATAAAAATTTTTGTTAATGATTAATGAAATCGTTAACGGTACAGCCGTTAACGGTTTATTACAGTTTCAACGGCTCTAATAAATTTTGTTAATGGTTTATGAAATCGTTAACGGTTGTGAACACAGAAAACGAGTTTGGTAAAATAAAAAATAAATACTGCTTAATTTGTATTAGAGTTAAATTGGCCCGATTTTACACATTTTTCAATTCTTAAATTGTTAATTTTTAACTATGGTATTCAATGATACCTGGGTTGTACACCGTACATAAATTATACCTTATTTTACATGTTACTCCTGTCCATCCCGGGTTACACTTACAACCACCTTCACTAAATAGTAAAAATTAAAAATAACTTTAAAACGAATTTTAAATAATTTAAAATGGATTTCAAAGACTTTTTCATAATGATTCATAAAGAATACAAACAAAGACTTATTCATAATGATTTGCTTGATTTATATTATATAGACAATGTACCTTCTGTACCCATGTACACAAGAAACAGTGTTTGTACATATTTGCTGACCGTACATCCACTTACACCCAGGCATGTACAGGTTTAGAGAATAATCTAAACAAAAATTTAATTAAAATTACGACCCATGGATACAAATAAAACAACTAGAATTTTCGTCCTTCTTTTAACTCTAATTCCTGTCCGTTCAAATGAAAATATCTACCTAGAGGTTTAATGTTGATGGTGAGAAGTATCTCCTGCTGGAAGGTTTCCAGGTTCTCTATTTTGAACCTCCAGTCTCCAACTTCAAGGAGGAGAACCTTCAACTCCATCCGTCCCAGCTCCAGGATATCCACCAGCTCAAACTCAACCAGGTTTGGAGCTCCAGATCTCAAACCTGACAAGAAATGCATGCACTTTTTCTTCAAAGTTATTTCAAGTGTCTTTTACTTAAGTAAAATACAAATAATAATAATGATAATAATAATTTTAATCTTGAGATGTGTACCTATAATTGGAAGACGAGTTCTAGCTGAACCCTTGATTTCTACGGCATAATCCTGGTTCAGATTTAGCTCCAGGTATAAACTTTCTCCGGGTCCTAATACAGTGAGACCCATAAAGCTATGGCATAAGAAGATGAAATCTAAGCTATTGTTAAGCATGTTAAACTTCCCTGGTTTAACTTTTGTCGCGGAGATTAACTTAGCTAGTCGACAAAAGAGAAATAGTTAAACCAGTAGTAGATGGTTGAACTATTACTTGCAATTCAGAAATTCTATAAAAATTCTAATCAAGAAGAGAGAGATGTATTAGAAAAATTCTTAACCCCGTTAAATGATATAACCCCTAAGAAGCTGATCTGAATTTAGCTAAAACCTATCCTGTAATTATTTTAAAGCCTGGTTCACAACCATTCCGTAACCCCTTCATCGATTTAATAACGAGGATGATATCGTTGTTTTTCTGTCTTAAAACTGATTTTACATTCTCAAAATTTCTTTTGTTATCTTTCCTGAATAAGTCATTTTAACAGAGAACCGCAATTAAAATTATCAATTTTCAGACAGAAAAAAAAGATATTCAAAGAACAAATATGCAACGGATAAAATTGGTTTCCTCATACTTGTGTATAAAATCAAAACTAGAGGAGCTAAAGAGTCCCAAAGTTGTACCGGCAATATTGGAATAATTTGAGCTTCTACATCTATCTAGTTTTACCTATATGATGAGATATCTTCTGTTCTTCTGTTTCTTCAGATAGAATAATTGTCGAATTCTTCTCTTCCTTCTCCAGTATAGTAGATGTAGTTGTAGAGAGTGCTTCACCATTATTCTAAAAAGAAATATATTTTTCATGATAACAAAAGACGATTGCCAAAAAATCACAATGTAATACTAATCGTCCTCCATGGATCACTAAAGGTCCGTATAGAGCACGGCTAGGACGTTCGAAAAGGCAATTTTGAGATTATTTGATAGTTTAAAAAAAATCTCATTCTAAGACGCATTGAATAAAATGATAACAGAATTATATGGTTACACCTGTTATCTCTCTCATTTTTAGCGAACACTCCCTTCAAAGGGAATGTAAGCGTAAATCTAACTGACCGTCCATGCTAAGATGGCACTGACCGATTCACATCGGTACCCTTGAAAGCTTAGTCTGATCAAATATGGTATCCATGTGTTTGTTTCTTAAAACTGTTTATTTTCATCTGTGGTTTCTCTGCAAAAGTGACTTGCGCATACATATTGCTTATAAAAAGTAAGGTAAAATCAATATTTTGATCAATTTAAGGTTTCAAATTTCAATGGTACTGTTGTAAATCGGGTTTTGCTATCTTTTCATGGAGAGTCACTAGAAATTACGAGATCAGTCCCTTTAAGTATAAAAATTATTAACCTGGATAAACTGGTGGCAGAGCCTGGGCACACCCTGAGCATCTATCAATATATCTTCAGCAATGTTTATTTCATCGTCGTCTGGAAACCTAGAAAATTTTCAAAAAAAATGTTAACTTTAAGATTTTCAGGATTTTTAAAATTTCGCCAAAAGATTTTTCCAAAAGAAACTAACACTTAGACTACGATAAAGGAGTCTTTTTAAGGACGCTTTAAAAATACACGGATTCAAGGGTTCAACATTTCTCTAGTATTAATGCTAGTCGTTTTGGTACAGGGTGTCCCACTAAACATACGGTTGAGAACTTGAGATACGACTGAAAGATCGTCCTTGATCAATGATAGCTATCTTATGACCAACTTTGATAGCTATCTTATTACCAACTTTGATAGCTATCTTATGACAAACTTTGATAGCCATCTTATGACCAACTTTGATAGCTTTCTTATGACCAACTTTGATAGCTATCTTATGACCAACTTTGATAGCTATCTTATGACCATCTTTGACATCTATCTTATGACCAACTTTTATAGCTATCTTATGACAAACTTTAATAGCTATCTTATGACCAACTTTGACAGCTATCTTATGACCAACTTTGATACCTATCTTATGACAAACTTTGACAGCTATCTTATGACCAACTTTGATAGTTTTCTTATGACCAACTTTGATAGCTATCTTATGACAAACTTTGATAGCTATCTTATGACCAACTTTTATAGTTTTCTTATGACCAACTTTGATAGCTATCTTATTACCAACTTTGATAGCTATCTTATGACCAACTTTGACAGCTATCTTATGACCAACTTTGATGGCTATCTTATTACCAACTTTGACAGCTATCTTATGACAAACTTTGATAGCTATCTTATGACCAACTTTGATAGTTTTCTTATGACCAAATTTGATAGCTATCTTATGACAAACTTTGATAGATATCTTATGACCAACTTTGATAGCTTTCTTATGACCAACTTTGACAGCTATTTTATGACCAACTTTGATAGTTTTCTTATGACCAACTTTGACAGCTATCTTATGACCAACTTTGACAGCTATCTTATGACCAATTATGTATCAAAAACGCCCAACGTCTGTAAAAACTTTCCATATTGTGTTTTACCTACTGAAAAGTGTACAACCTTTTTTAAATACACACTTTATCCTTAGCTCAAAGATCAAAGACGACCCTCAATTATATTGTTTTGTGGGACAACCTTGTATATCAGAAAGATTAAATTCCGTGTAATCGTCTCTAAAGTCTCATCCTTTGTGGGAAACTTTCCCGATAAAATATTTTCCAATCATCAATTAATGACACACAATGTTGCGACGTATATAGGTCTAATCCTAATCTTAGAGGACTGTTTATTAATAAAGATATAGGGTAAAGTTCTGTTTGGAAAACACTCAAATACATTTGGTAAAAATTTTAATTGTAAGGAAAAATTGATTTAAAATGTTTAAAACTGTGATACCTGATTCTAGATTCTACATCAAGTGGCTTAAAATCCACAACGGTGCAACAGCGCTCTAGATTTTCATCTAAAAAAGTTTAGCTACTATGGAAGCAAAGGAACTGAAAAGTTCAAACTCTAACCTCTACTTCTGATATATTTGAAACCTATTGGTGCAGAATTCAATCAAATGTCTTAGACCTGGGATTGCAAAAGCATAAGATTTTAAAAATCAATGTTATAAAGCAAGTGTTTCGTTCCTTATGAAAATATCCTCAGAAGTTTTATTTTCTATAATTTATTAATAAAAATGACCAAAAATGTCAAATTTTGTTGAATGATTCTGCTAAGGTGAATTTGATGCCGGTGCTCCAACAAATTTTGTGCAATCTCAGATGTGTATTTTTTTAAAATTGGAGATCAAAAGTTTTTTCATATTTGTTCATACTTTACACCCAAAATTTTATTTGTTTTCCTAAATTCAGCAAATGAAATCCTAAAATTCATTTATTTTCCAAATTCAGCAAATGAAATCCTAAAAATCATTCATTTTCCTTAATTCAGCAAATGAAATCCTAAAAATCATTTATTTTCCTAAATTCAGCAAATGAAATCCTAAAATTCCTTTATTTTCCTAAATTCAGCAAATGAAATTTTAAAAATCAATTATTTTCCTAAATTCAGCAAATGAATACCTAAAAATCATCTATTTTCCTAAATTCAGAAATCCTAAAAAATCATTTCCGCCTCGCCCAAACAAACCTAACTTCTAGGGAAAACAAACAAGATTTTCAACAGGGGGGGGGGGGGGTTTTTAACAAAAATAACGACCCTGCATAATCTTCATTGTAATGAACATCATCCCAAATTGAAGTAAAAATCATTATTTACCTGAACAGAAATGACTTGAACCCTGTAAAACAAAATCAATTTTCTCCTCCTCACCAGAATCAACTTTGTACCTGGGGGTAAAAATATGTTAAGGTACTGGTGACGTAATTTCAAGGAATCATCTATTTAAAAAAAAATGGCATGCACATTTCACAGCGGTACCCCGTAAACCTTTTTCTGATCAATGATGTGGAAGATTTAGTCGTTTTCATAGCCTAAAAAGTATTTAATTCCCACAATTTCATCTATGGTTTATGTAGTAGAAAATAACGAGTCGCTTTTATAGAAAAACACAACTTAAAAGAACTATTTTCAAAGATAAATCATATTATCTCAGTCATTCTTAATCCATATTTAAAGAGTACCGTAGTGGATCGTGCAACCCGCTCTTTTATTTTTTTAGTGGAGTGTCATTTAAAATTACATGTACAGTCCCTTTAAGATCTGTTCTGATAGATTATAATTCTGGAATACCTGACTTTATGATCACAAATACAATCACAATTATCCAAAGAACTATTAATGTCTTGCATCTCATAAATAAACTCTTCATTAGTGTTCTGATTTGTCAACGTTTCAAATTCCTCCTTATTATTGTTAGAAGCCGCAACCTCCTTAGATTCAGTAAAATCTTCATCAAAAAGAGTACTTTCGTTACGATTGAACATCATCGTTATATTGTTAACCAAATCTGTTATGTGAGCTATATCAATTGGAAGATTATCACTTAGGATCTCGAATATTTCAGGTGTTCTTGATGGAGATGGACTGGGTAAGATTTCAGGAGAGGATTCTGAAGAAAATGTTGATAATGATGATTCAGTTGATGATTCCGAAGAAAATTTTGATAATGATGATTCAGTTGATGATTCTAAAGAAAATGTTGATAACGATGATTCAGTTGATGTTTTCTTAGATTCTAACGAATGTTCTGATTTAGTTTCCAGAGATGACAAAAAAGGCCCCGATGTTGGCGATAATTGTTCCATCTGAACTTTGGAGATAGGTATTTCTTGAGTGGTTTGAGAAGTCTGCTCATCAAACTGATTTTCAGATAATGCTGGAGAAGAGGGTTGTGTGGACATATCAGAATTAGATAACAAAGGTCTTGAGATTAAGTATTGCGTGTTCTCCAGGCTGCTTCTATATTGAAAAAATAAGAAAATTAATTTATAAATTTTTGCATTTCTATGTGGTTTTCCTCTTTTCAAATAAATTATCACATGGAAAGGGTCATGACCAGTCGCAATTTAAAAATTTTGCCTCAACAAAATGTGATTAATTTTTTTTAGAAATACACTTCAAAACAAGAAAAATCTTTCTAAATATTAGATAGGAATAAAATGGTTGCCGTTAAAGGAATGTTAAGGTCTTTAAAGTATCATCCTTTCTGGGTAACCCTGTAGTTCGATCAAATTATGAATTAATCTGCAATATGTTTGTTTTCTATAAATTGGAACAGAAGAGAAAACTTTTTAAAAAGTGCTTGTAGAGGATTTGCATTGTAGGCTAATTATAATTGTTCGGGCCATAGATAAATAAATAAACATAGATAGCTTATGTACGCAAAATCACCAAGAATTGTACAGTCCGCGAACTCATACTTCTAGGGGTCAAAGTGTACTTTAATGATAAGCGGGGTGGTTTGGTGTTTTAATGGATTTCATAATAGAGTGTAAAAAAACTCCGGGAATGGAACTATTTGAACAACAATATTCACTGAGCAATATATCATATTGACGAGAACTGAAGAAGGACATGAGAAGGACTAAACTAACTTAAATTTCTCTCTACAGAACTCATGTACACCACAAGTGCTCAATGACATAAGAACAGCCAATGTCCACAACCGACCTAGTTAATTTATAGAATAGGAATATCTTTAAAACATCTCTGTACATTTATATCTTTCAAGATGAAAAATGTCGTCTTATGTGCAATCTATCTTTATCTATGGTCCGGGCCCACGCCTTGAAGAACATTTTATATTTAATTGCTTTTACAAAAGTGAAATTACTGACTTTATCAAGCAAGCATACCTTTCAAGGTCAGAAGTTGAAGTTTCTTCAAACACATCGTCATGGACTTCCTCAAAAGTTTCCAAAAGAGATGTTTCATTGGTCGAATCATTCTCGAGTGTAGAATTATCATTCCACTCATCATTAGCTTCAAATAGTTCAATAATATCTGGAGTAGTTATATCTGTAGAAATGTTTTCACCAACCTCAATATTATCTAAAACTTCTGTAATATTTTGGTCTTCATCGTTGTCTTCTAGCGTAGAATCAAAAAGATGCATCATGCCGCTACCATTGTAACTGGAATTGTCCTGGTCAGGATCAAATTGATCAATCGTAACAGCCTCATCACTTTTAACAATAATAGAGTTGTTGTTTAGATTAGCTTGCTCATCATAGTAATCAACTAGATCACTTTGACTTAGATCACCACTGCCGTCAAAAGAAACAAAGTTTTCGGAATTTTCTTTTGGATCATCCTGATCAAAATCACTTTCTGTAGAAATAAATGCACTTCCTTCAGTTGTTGCTGGATTGTCCTGAACTTTATCAACAGTTAGGTCTTCATCATTTCCTTGTGTTAAATCATCTATCGCAAGAAACAGCAAAAGAAACACTATTCTTTTCATTTTATACAAATAACATATCTGAAAAAAATCGTAAACTGTTATTTTTTTAATGGGACTGTAAGGGTTATTTCAGGTGACCCTGCATACCAAGATGGCAATGCCAATTAAAACAACCCTCCGACTCCTGAAACCTTTCTCTGATCAATAATGAGGAAGATTTGGTCGTTTTTCTTTGTTTAAAGGGATTCATTCTTATGATTCCCATATGTGTTCCTGCAGTAGAGATGTGTAAGTCACTTTTGTAGAAAAACAACAAATAAAAATTATCAGTTTTCAAAATTAGAAAACATTGTTGATCAGACCATGCCTTTTAAGGGTACTATTGTGAATCGGGCATTGCCATCTATGTATGGTGGGTCAATTAAAATTACCTTACAGTCCCTTTAAAAGAGTGTTTTCTTTCTTTAAAAAACACTCCCTTTAAACCCATGTTTTGTTGACTTAGTTATTGAGTTGAAACTAACATGTTTATTGCATGTAACTAAAGATAATTTTTTGTGTTTGATTCATTTTCATGATACAGTTGAAATACACCCTTTCTATGCACTGATTCATATCCTACTGATGAGCATTGTTTTTAATATTTAAAGTTTTTAGACTTTTCAGAGTCTGTACAATAATCTGAGATGTTAAAGTTGTACGCTATTGCTAGACAAGTTTGTTATAATTACATTATGCAACATGACCAAAGATATTAATCAAAACCGATAAGAAAATGGTTTTTCGTCTTAAAAAATAGTTTTGGTTAAAATTTATGTTTAATTTCGCATAATGAAATTAAACCAAAGTTATCGATAATACAATTTTGTAATTTAATTAATAACTTACATTTTTGTAAAACACTTTAACTTTACAAAACCTGAATGTATGAAAACGATTACGGAGAAGAAAATAATTACAACTATGCATAATAAAGCCCTGTGGAACACTGAAAAAAACTTCAAAATCCCCATATCTAATCATTATTTTCAAAATGTCGTATCAATAATTTCGTGTTTTCTGGGAAGAACATATATTGAGAAAAATTCTTCTCTATTTATAAGTGTTGAGATCTAACTAACTTTATTATGCTCCACCCCCCCCCCCCCTTCCACTCCCATCTCCCCTTTACCTCTCCTAACCTCCCATCTCCCCCTTCCTCCTGTGCATTAAAATGCTTTAACAATGCTTTGATCTTTAAGGCTAACTTTTTTAAAAAAAAGCACTATACAAAAATATCTCTGTGCGGCAAAAAAAATTGGATTAAACTTTTTTTTTAAAAGGTTTTCTATGAAATAACAATAGTCGATTTTTTTTATCGAAAGTAATCGATGATCATCCAGCGGTTGCTGTATCGGTTCAAGCCTAGTTTTGTCTGGGGATATTCTATGTGTTTACATAAAAGAATCGTTTAAACATGAAGATGAAAATGATAACATAAACAACTATCTTGTATTTTTATTAACATACAAACATAATATTTATGTAAAAAATTTAGATTTCATTCTGAACATCTTTATCTTTTATACCAAAACTTTACTATAAAATAAAAAATGATAATTTTAAATAAAATCAAGTTAAAAATTTAACATTTTTACATATATCCATTAAACAATTAAGCTATCAACCCCGCCCCCCCCCTTTATAAAAATCATCTTCAGAACTTCGAAAAAAAATTGGATCTAAGAGATAACTTTTTTCTGAAGTTTTTTTTTCAAAAAAGCTTTATTCTTTGAACATGAATTTTAGCACTCATCTTGATTATTTTAAATCTTAATACAAATGTATGAAGTACATAAAGAATGCCAAAAATATTAAATCGTAGTTTGAAATCTGAACCTATGAAAGCTCAAACAATCAGGTTTATACGTTTTCAACTGTTTTCTTTAAATTGTCTAAATAAGGAAGTAGAAAGCTTTAATACATAAAACAGGTATTAATCCCGGCTTTTTATAGGGGCAGGGAGAGGGGATGGAGATAGGGTGCGGGGAAAAAAGAGCAAGGAAGCCGGGTAAGATTGTAATAAATATTGGGTAACATGACATTCTGTAAACCTGCAGTACGTTGTACATTATTAACTATCTATTCTGTAACAAATACACCATCTCCATATTTATCAGAATTTGAGCGGCGGTTTAAATTTAAGCCGCGGTTTAAATATGGTTGGTTCCACTTAAAATTGTATTAAATGTTTCAAGATTTAAACCGGCGCTTATTTTAAACCGGGTTTTGGTGGATTTAAACCGCTGCTCAAATTCTTTAAATTCCATCTCTGAACAGGTGTATTAAACATGAGTGCTACGTAATATGATTAAACCATTAGATTAATTACGATTTTATCTATCCATGTTAAATGTTAATCCTTTAAAAACGTACATTTAACATTCTAGCCGAAGTTGTGTGTATGGAAACTGGCAACATTAAATAGATTTTTTGCATTGATAAAACACACGCAAATTAGTGATTTTGGTAATTTTGTAAGTTAACGAAAAGCCATTTAAATCTGCATATAGACATACTTGTTTACCAACATTTTTACACATTTTGGTTTTGGGTTTAATATTTCAATGATAAATATTAAGAATCTAGATTTAAATTGTCTATTCTATCCTCGAATAATCAGAGAAAGAAGATACAATACCATGGTAAACAGAAAACAGTGGAATGATTGTCGTCTTTTTATTATCTTTTTATCCTAAAAGTCGGAACATTTCTGTGAAGTATCGTTCATCGTAAACGCGTTTGATAGATCGATATCCAACACCAAACCTGACTTCTGAACTGTTGAACATTTAGTATATTTAATATATATCAGGTTTTAACATTTAATATATATCAGGTTTTAACATTTACGAATTGCTAAGTGCTTGGTTATCTTCTCTATATAATAAAGCTTTTTGCTCATATATATATATACAATTTATATTTTTAGCTATAGCTGGCCAAACGACAGGGCCGAATGGACTGAAATTGTTTTTTAGGGAACCCTTGAGAAACCCCGGTGGTAACAAAGGCTAAGCAGATTTTTTTCAAAAATCGAAATTTTTTTATTCAAAAATCAAATTTGTTTTTTCAAAATTTGGTTTTAAAAAATTCCGCGGGCAACGCTGGGTACTTCAGCTAGTATTTCTTAAATTAAAGAAAGAATGACGACAACAGTTATCTACAGTTTTTTGGTTACTACTTACTACTTCACATCCTTCTTTAGACATTTAAAGGGACTGTAACCGTAATTTCAACTGGCAGTCCGGCCATGAAAAATGTCTGATTCACAACGGTACCCTTAAAAGCTTTGTCTACTCAAGTAAAATTAGATGCAGCTTTGACTGGAGGGTCACTTGATATTTAGCTTACAGTCCCTTTAGTTGAAACTTTTTACGACCACTCCATCACATCCTAGTATTAGATTACGACTGACGAGTTGTGAGTAGGAACGAAGACTGTCCTGTTTTTAACCGAATGTAGGCTTGAGCCGAAACAAGAAATATATTTAAATTGCTTAACTAAAAATTTTCTTGGGAAAAGACTAGATATTATCGATCAAATAATTCAAATAATCGCATATTTCGATTAAAAACATAGTTCGGTGAAACCCTAGTAAACAATCTGATCTTTTAATGCAGAGTTTGGTAGAAATTATTAATAGACAATAGACAAGTGGTTAGAAAAATACTAAATGTACTTCATAGAATGTCTAGTTCGTCTGTCCCTTACAACAGTCCAGAAGAAAATGGAGAAGTAAGATATATAATTATGCCAAGTGTAGAGCTGCAAGATTTATGAGCTGGGTCACGGGGGGGGGAGAGGGGGAGGAACCATGTTAAATCTAGACATAGATATATAAAATATGTAATTACTTTTTTTACCACAGATAGATATGCTCATGTAGAGTATAAAACTAGGGTTTACAACGTATAAGATATCGAAAATTTTGTAACGGTTTTGGACGAAAAAAAATAGTCCAAATTCTTAGTAAAAACTGCTTAGTGGATCCGTGGCTGAACTGAACTTTAAATCCTCATACATAGAAGCACAAAATATAAGCCGTAAGGAAGTATAATAACGGCTGCAGCTGGATTTGGGTGAACTTACTTGGATCACGTGAACGGATAGATAGATAGATAGTTCTCCATTCATCAAACATTTAATAAAGTAAAGAAAAGAAATGATTAAATTATAATATAATAAAACTTCTAATCATAATAGATTTTTTTACAACAGATAGCACACTAGATGTCGACTTTTCAAGATTAAGGGGTTCTTCGTTCACAATAGTCCTGAGGCAGAAGCTCAAAGGAGTTACGCCCACTGGGGCGTTGTATTACTGTATTATTGTATTGTTAATTAATCTATGCTTCTAATGCTTCTATTTTAGTACTTTTTAACTATACACTGTACAGGGGGAGTAAAAACCGGGATTATTGATGTTTTGGACAAAATTTTTATATGTGTTTTATGCTTAGAATTTTAGGTTTGAAAAATGTGATAAAACAAATTTAAAATAAATGAAATTTTTTAAAAATGTGAATTGGGATTGTTCTATTGGTTTCCAAAATTTCATAAAAATTTATCAAAAATTGAATGAGAAATAACAAAAAATCCACAAAAAGATGCAAGCAGAAATCTACAGTAAATTTGATCAAATAATTAATCCTTTTGAACTGTTACGACTTCACTAATCCAAATAATTGGTTTACTTTTTTGTTATATCTCATTCAATTTTTGAATAATTTTTATGAAATTGGTTTCGTGGATTTTTGAAATGTTTCTAAAATATTTTTTAAAAATTTTAACACTTTTTTATGCCTAAAATCCGAAGCAAACTAATTTTTTCAACTACGTTTCTAAAACATATGAGTACGAACAAGTTTTTTAAACTGTCATTTTGTAAACTTAAATTGGAATGCTGCAGATATTTAAATTTTTTAATTAAAAAATTACTAGGAGCATAGAGAGACGCTTACTTATAAATAAGCTGTAGCTAGCAATAGCAGTGGGATGGATAAGTCGTCCCATGTATATCGTGTAGAGATAGTTATACGTTATAAGATGCCAGCTCAGAAAACATGCTTTTAAAACTTGATTTGAACGATTGTAAGATTTATCGCGTGGAAAACCAAAACCACTGTTCTATTTTAAATTCAAGTCAATGGCTTGAAACACTGCTTGACACCAGGGTGGAGTATTAAATAGGATCTGCCTGGGCTAAAACCGAAATGATCAGTTACGGTTTTTACTCCCCCTGTACAGTGTATAGTTAAAAAGTACTAATATAGAAGCATAGATTAATTAACAGTAACAGATAGAACAATAGATGTCTTGTAATACAACGCCCCATGGGCGTAACTCCTTTGTGCACGAAGCGTCGGAAGATTAACTCGCCGTACGAGGCAAATGAAAGGTGGAGAGTCTGCCAGAGAGCTTCGGCTTTCCATGATTAATTCGTATAATTTTATTTGTTCTTTTTTTTACTTGTAAATACATTTTTTCCTATACTCTGTAGATTTACTCAAGTCAGATTTCAGTTCAGGCTTTAGATTTCCTTTATTTCATACAACTTTTTAACATTATATGGAACTCGTGAAAACTGTTCCCGCATATTTTAAGGCTATCTATTTATTTTGACAATTACTAAGATTTAGGTTTATTTGAAAAATTGTCAAGACGACATTCTAAAAAATTCTTCAGATGTCTCCAAAGTTCTGGGTGAAACTATAGAATCATAATAAATCGTAAAAAAAGACAAATAACGATTAAAAATTTATTTCTAAATTATTACTATAACGAAACATTACATAGGACCTATATACTAATACTATAGGCTACCAATCTATTCAGGTACAATTATCCAACCAAAACCAAACCAATTGCAACAACGCATTGTACAGAAAATCCGCAAAAACGCTTTGCTGAACTGTTGGTTATGGCGGGAACATTTGAAAATAAAAACTAATAAATTTTGATTGATATATCTTGATAAATCTTTCTTGTTATTGGGTTGTACAAAAATACGAATTCTTTAATTTTTTTCTGACAAGATTTATGCAATCAACTCCCAAAAACAAAATTAAGACAAAATCTTAGAATGTGATTGGTTAAAAACCGCTTAAATTGACGTTAGTCCCTATTCTACTCCTTCTACTATAACAGACAGACATTTTAAATAAAAACTTAATTATAGACAAATTAAAAATATACTTAAAGGTGACATTTCTATAAACATGATCAAGCGGCAATTATTAAAAGATTATTAACGTAATATTCGACTGCCAAACACCCGTTTTAAACTTTTATTTTGCTAAAATTGGTGCCATTGGCAGATATTGAAAACTGGAAGACGACCTAAGGTTGAGCAAAATTGAGTTGAAGCTCAGAAATTGTATTGATGGATACAGAAACTTGGACCTTGGGGTTTTTTTTAGAAAAAAATATCACAATTAATCTAGAGATTTTCATTTTTCATAAATTCTGAAGCACTGTTTAAATTGAAAAGACTAAATCGCTTGGAAAGATTAATAAAATAATTTTGATTTAAGAACAGAAGAACAACAATTTATCACATTTTCAACACAGTCCCCCCCCCCTCACGAAAGAAAAACATTTTAGAATTTACACAAATGCTCCAAGGTCTGGATCAATTTCGTAGACAAAGCGCTCGATTTGTTTGGTGGGAGTCGGGGTAGAATTCTGGGAAGACGACCGTTCTTTTCCCGTCTCCTCTTCCTGGGCGGTACACGACCTATCCGTGAGGGTATCCACGGTCTCCGTGCTAAACCCTGCCCTAAGGGTCTCCTCTTGAGGGGTTGGGGTGGTAAAGAAGAGGGGGGAGGTGGTCTCCTCCTGTGGGGTGGGGGTGGTGAAGAAAAGGGGGGAGACGGCGTTAATATCATCCTCGTAATCTCCGAGTATTGGCACGCTAGATTTAATGCAAGTAAAGAAAGCCATCTTTTCCCTGAAAAAAAATAAAAGATTATTTTTGTTAACCAATTAAAAAAATTTGGAAAGTATCTCTCTATAAATAAAATTTGTATGTCCGATGTCCCCTTGAGTGGCCTTGACCAATTTTCTTCAAAATTTGATTGGGGAATTCGGTGGAACCACGGGAATTTAGTTTCTAGACCAAGTTGGGTTCCCAAACTAGTTTTGAATAAATTTTAGATTTTTACCTAAAGGATTGTACATCAAGCTGGCCTTTATTTGTTTTTGTTCGTCGAAGTTTGTAAATTTCTTTCGCAGTTTTTCTCAGAAGTTTTTCCATTCTTTTCTCCTCTGGACTTTTATCCTCTTTATTCTGCTCCAGCTAAATAAAGGAAATTATATTTTTTAAATATTTATTTTAAAGAAAATCTGCTCGGTTCAGGAAAATATGACAATGTATAAACATTTATCAAAGTTCGTATGTTCAAAATAACTGATAATTCATTGCGAGAATTTTTCGGTCCATAAGTAGCAATCAAAAGTGTAACTGATCATGTGGAGGGGGAGGAAGGGGGAGAATTTTTTTAACGAAATATCTTTTAGGATCATGTTTTTAATTGATTTATTTCTAAAATTGTTAACATTTTTAAAACTATATATATTTATCTATATGATTTCAAATTATTTTTCAAATCCTTGACAAAATCTACCATGCACTAAAAAGAAAGAAAGCAGATGATTATTCCGTAGTCCTCTGGTTTGCCACCATCCATATGAAAATATTTAACCCCATTTTACAAGATTTAGACGAAGATATTAAAAAAATGTAACAAATTTTTACAATTTTGAACAATTTTGTTGGTATTGAAGATCACACTAGGACAAAATTTCTCCGACAATTATCAAGGTTGAACCCACAATTTTGAAATTCCAAGACCTTTAGTTTAAATTTTTTAACTGGTTTAACCCGGATACTATAAAACAAAGACGATATTGAAGTCATCACTGTATTCCCCTTCTTAGTGGTACACTCCTGTATAATCCTAAGCCAAAGGTCGACCTCATAGTCCCGGAGCAAATTTTGGTCAGTTTACCCAGCTGACCTGCCTCTTTAAAATTTGGAATACAAATGCAAATTTTGAGCAAAAATCTGTCAATTTGAAAAAATATCTGCAAATTTTAGCCAAAAATGCCAAAAATTTCTTACACTTTTGCTTTTAACCTTGAAATGCCACAAAAAAACTGTCCTAAGTCTACCTTTAGAAGGAGATGCTGAAATTTTGAATCCTCTTGAACCCAATCAGGTATTTCTCCAGAACTCTTTGCTTTCTCCAGTTCTTCTTTTATTACACGCAGCCGAGATATCTCGTCAGATAAAACCTGGAAATAGATTAATGTTAAACTCGGCTTCCATATGTATTCTTGTTGCTTTGATCTTCGTAAACATTAACATCATAACAACAAAAGAATTTCACAGAATCTTCAGTGAAATTCTTCATGATTTAAAATTAAAGTTTTTGATATTTATAAGAAAAAACCAACAGAAAAGACATTTTCATATGAATCTATTAAATAAAACATAAGATTAAAAAATCAATGGCAGATGAAATTTCATGAATTTATGATTCTTTTCCCAAGATAAAGATTCTTTTTGAAAGGTTATTTTTTTAGAATGAAATATTTCTTTTCTTTTTCAAGTATGTATTAAAACAATAAAAAAATACTGATTTTTGTTGAAACTATTTTGCACAAAATTATTGAAACTTAAAAACTTCAGCAATCAATAATTGTTCCAGAAAAAAATATTTTTTTAAAATAAGTATATTATCTATCTCACCTTCAGCCTAGATTGCTGGGCAGCCAGATCTAGTTCTAGATCTAACGAGGTCAAGTTTACACCACCACCTTTACTTCGAGATTTAACCGCCGTGGCGGGTACATGGAGAGACCGCCGTTCTCTGCTATTCCGTTGAAATGGAAGACGACGATACAAAGGCATGGCGCTATCACTGTCGCTACGATTTAACTGAAATAATTAGAAATTAAAAATATTTTAACAAAAATAAAACTAGAGGGACCTCAGTATCGAATTACTGACCCCGTGGCCGAATTTAAAGAATTTGAGCGGCGGTTTAAATTTAAGCCGTGGTTTAAATATGGTTGGTTCCACTTAAAATTGTATTAAATGTTTCAAGATTTAAACCGGCGCTGAATTTAAACCGGGTTTTGGCGGATTTAAACCGCGGCTGAAATTCTTTAAATTCCATCTCTGGATCTATTAAATAATGTACAACATTTTTGCCACTATATTGAGTGACACCTAGTATGAAGAGGGTAAAGGTAAAATTGATACTAGGTCTTAATTGGATGAATATAATAAAATACTTCTGTTGGTGGAGCGTGTACATAATGGTTTTTGCTGACTTCTTTTCAAAACTTCTCCAGTTAATATCCCCCCCCCCCCCCGGTCAAAATATTTTCCCTTTTCAAATTTTTTATTAAATCCAACTTACTCTGCAAGCATACTGAGATTTGCTGATAGGAGCACTGGGGCTGAAAGTTTTAGATCTTTTAACAATAGTTGGAGCTGATGCTAGAGGGCGCGAAGCTCCCTTGATGAGGGGAGGTTGGATAAACACACACTCTGTATTTGTCTCCTTGTCCTCCCTGATATTCCTGGCTGGAGCTGAGTAGAGAAGACCAGCCTGAAGGAATCAATTTACAATATTTTTTTTTTTACATGAACTTGTTTAGCTTTTCCGGTTTAAATAGATTTAGTATCTACCTTTATTATTTTTACACAGAAATATTGTTTAAAAGTTTTAAATTAGTTTCTTTTTGTCAATGTTTACTTTAAAAAAAATAATTCTGCCATTGTTACTTTATGAATTAATTCCCCCCATCATCTTTCAATTACATGTAATAAAATTTAATAAATCATGAAAATTAACATTGACGTTTCAAATTTTGATTTCCTGAAAAACCATGGAACCCCGATCTTAATGCATTATTTAGGTTTAGGTTAGCTTTACACAATTTCTGGACCAAGCGCTGCGGACGTGTACAAATATGCTACTTTTTTATTTTGGCCGATATATGTATGTAGTTTGTTTAATATACGTAGTTTTATGGCTGTGAAGATCCGGTGGGAGAGGGAGGGGGGGGGGGGGAATGTTCTTGATTAAAAAAAGATTTTTTACCGCATGCTCGTTAATATGAAACTCCTGTCCTTCTTCCTCATCCTCCTCATCTTCCTCTTCCTCTTCATCCTCATCCTCATATTCAACCTCCAGGGGATAGAAGGTGGAATCCTCCTACAATAAGGAATTTTTAAAGGGACTGTTGACAAGTTTCAAGTCAATCTCCATTTATTGAGTGGCATGTCCGATTTACAAGGGTACAAAACCTTAGTCTGATAAAGAATAAGAGTAATACATTATTATTTCTAAACATGGATTTAGATTTTAGAAATATGATTTCTAGATTTTTAGATACTATAATTTCAAATAATATAAAAACTATATGAAAAAGGTGAAATTTTCCAAATGATGACTCGCAAAGATTCAAAACAAATAGTTTCATTTTGATGTAAAAGTTCGAAATGAGGCACTGATGTATAGACAACTCTAAAAGTTAGTCATCAAATTTTTAGACAACCTCGACTAATAAGTGTCGCAACGCCTTGCACTTTAATTTTACCTCACCTAATCAATTATACTTTTTGTGGCCCTATTTATGTACATTTTAAAAATTCAACGTGCTTGTTTTAAGCTTAGGTTATTGGCAAAATACTGCTTGACTTTTGCGTTAGAGCGTGAACATCTTGGTTTGCAGTGGAAATGTGGTGTGTTCAAAATATGAATTTCTGTTGATTTTGAAAATAAGTTTTGTTTTTATTATTAACCTGGTGTAGATTGTCTGTCCCTATGTTCCTGGTTAGAGTTGAGGTTTGTGAAGATATAATCGTACTTTCATCTGAGGATTCTTCCTTCAAGGTACCCTGTCTAGATCCCATACTACTTATCTCACTCTCCTAGTTAGAAAAACATTTTTAATATTTTTATAAAAATCTATTTAAAACACCTGCTAAAAATTTTCTTGAATGGGGTTTCCCAAACAAAAATGTAGAAAATTCATTTAATATTAATATAGATTTTTATTATACAAAAATATTATTTAAACTATTATTAAACTGTTTGTTCATATATATATTTAAGAATCCTATACTGTAAACTAAAGGTTTACTAAAACCGTGACAGTACACTAGATTAGTCATCATATCCCCTTCTAGTGAGATTTGTGTCCTGGAAAATTTGTTTAAAAGTGAACACTGAACACTCCCTTTGTCCTCTACCTGTTTAACATGAAGGCTGGCTGGCCTAGTCGCCTGTGGAGGTCGTTTAACCTCTGGTTGCATAAAATGAAAGCTGAGGACATTATACCATTTCACAGAGGTTGTGCTGCTGTTAAAGTCAGCCATTGAAACCTAATGATAATAAAAATAATAACAATAACAATAACAATAACGATAACAATAACAACATCAATATCAATAACATAACAATAATATAACAATAATATAACAATAACGATAAAAATAACAATAACAATAACAATAACAATAACAATAACAATAACAATAACAATAACAATAACAATAACAATAACAATAACAATAACAATAACAATAACAAACACAATTACAATAACATTATTTATAAAAAAAAAAATATAAAAATAAAAATAAGCATGGAAATTTGAAAACAAAAAAGTAGACAATAAAAAATATGACAAAATAGCAAATAAACGTTAAAAAGTAAGAAAACTAAAAATTTTACCTGAGCTGAACCTAGACAATCTTCTCTTCCTTGCTCGTCAACGGCCCAAACATTAACCTTAATATTTTATTAGTCAAATTTATAATAAGAAGATAGGTTTAATTTTTTTTCATTGTAGGTTTCATCATCGAGAATAATCTTTTTGTAAATATAATAATAATAAATTTCGAAGATTATTATTTATTAAGCTAAAAAATAATAATATAAAAGTATATATTCAAGTAAATTTCACTTTAGATTAAAAGATAAATTTAATTTCCAAATAAAAATCATGCTTGACGACAATAAAAATTCCAATTGTAAAATGTTTCTCTAAAAATATCTGACACAATTTCCCCCTGTTTTAGCCTCTTTGTTGCAAAATGTAAATAATGATTCAAATTCTTCGCATTTTTCAAGGATGACATAGTTCAAGTTTTCTTATCACAAATGTCGCAGAATAACACTGACAACATATATTTCTAAATAACAAAGGATAAATTAACAGATAAGTGAAAATCCCTGATAAAGATAAAATTTTCATAAGTTTAAGACTTTGAACAAAAACATTCAACAAGAATAATTATTCACTATAAACAGTTGCCGATTGCCATTTACCGTTTTATAACAGTAAAAGCTGTCGGGTTTTTTTCTTCTTCAGATTTATCATTATTTATGACTGAAATAAAACATTGCACTATTTTTCTTTTTGTTTTTAATCTTTGTGAAGAAACAATCTCAAGAACTGACGAGGGTCAACCCAGACCGAAATATATTTTCAATAAATGTGGAACTAACATCTACTTTTTACTCTACAGAGGTTTGGTCCATCACTATCACCGAATTTTAAATCTATTTTTTCTTATAAGATAATCGATATTGTGTGCAGCAAAGTTGAGCCTTGATTTATCACAGCTGGGACAGAAACAATAACAGAATCGTTCATTGCATATAAAAGAAGGTTTGAAGAAGAGGTTACCCACCTGTAATGTTTTAGTTACAAGCTTGGATTGTGAGATTGCAACTGGGAAGTTCTCTCCAAAGTTTGGTTTGGTAAGGTTACTAAGGGACCGGGTACAGAACGTGTAGGAGACGTTCGCGATACAGGGCAGCAGGGCTGCCTTGATACATCTACAACAGGGATAAGTAAATAAAGTTAAGAAATAAGATGTCAATTTTTAGCATTATTATTATTTATTTACTTTCTCGAGGAAAAATTATGTAACGTAAATCTCCTTATGGCTGGAGAACATTGTGAAATGATAAAAGATTTCTTTAAAAAAAATATTTTTTAAACTTTAACTATGCGAGAATCGGTGCTTAGTTCTAAAAAAAACATATAAACTTACACTTTACGTCCCTCGGGTATAAAAAGCACGGTCAAATTACGGGCTTTCTCTATACCGATATGGAGTAGGCTATCCACGCTGGAGTATCTCAGTTTGATTTGTACTTGAGCAGTTTCAAGATTCATAGACAATCCTAGATCTTCCTTTTTAGATGACGCCTCAAATACACCAGAATCTCCGGCCACTGATTCGTCGCTGACGGCCGCAGAAACAGAGCGTGGATTGCTAGATCCTGGTTTTCGTTCGTCGTTGGCTGTTTCTGAGATGGGGGATAAAGGCGCGCTTAAATCGCCGCCGCCGATAGATTCTTGCCCAGGTCGGCGATTTATAAGAAGGGACGATGGAGAATATGAGTAGGATAAATCTCCGAGTTCAAGTTCACGATAAGGTTTAGGTGGCAGGCTTCGTTTTACAGGAGAATGGAAGGAACTGGTCGGGTTTCCTCCAGATGCTCCAGGTACTCCTTGAACTGCGGCAGGATGAAATCTCCGCTGATCTTGCTCAGGGTCCTGGTAATATAGGTTCCCCTGGGGCCCCTGGTACTGATTCCCTTGAGACCCTGGGAACTGGTTTCCTTGATACCCCTGGAACGAGTTTCCTTGGGACCCCTGGAGCTGAAGCCCCTGTGCCCCCTGGGGCTGGTTATGTTGCCCCTGTAAATACGGGGCCTGCAGGTGATTGAACAGCCCCTGTTGAGTACTTGTTAAACCAGAGATATGTCCTCCTTGAACCCCGGAAGACCCCGCCTGCCTTTTCTGACGTTCCTGGGAGCCACCGTACGCCTTTGAAAGAAACACCAATTAAATTAAATTTTATGCAAATTTATCTTTAAAATAGTTTTTTAAAGAGAGAGAATTAAAATATTTTTTAATGATTTTTTTGGGTATTTTCCTGTTCGTAGGTTGGTGGTAGCGGCGGGTCGTACGGTGATACTGGCGGGGAAACTGAACTTAAGGAACTACGTGGAGACAAGGAGAGCTGGGAGGGTGTGGTCGGAGTATTGAGATTCTGATCCTGGAGGTGGTGGCTGGAGTCAAGAAGCTCCTCCTGGGCTTGAGGCGGAGCACCGCCGATGAGTATTTTCTCCACCCGCCGATGGAGGTCAAGCATGGAGGAGTCTGGTTGCTGGGTTGTACTCAACCCGTAAATATCTGTGAAGGAGAGAGAGGACAGAGAACCTGAAATTATTTTTTTATTATCTTTGGAAATTATTGTTATTATCTTAGGAACTTCTTCTTAAATATCTTTGGAAATTATTCTTCATTCTTTTTGGAACTTCTTCTTAATTATCTTTGGAAATTGTTGTTAAATATATGTAGAACCAACTTACTCTTGATTATCTATGGAAATTATTCTTTTTAAGCTTTAGAAATTATTCTTCATAATCATTGGAAATAATAGTTTATAATCTTCAGAACCTATTCTCAATTATCTCTGGAACTTATTCTTAATTATCTTTAAAATTGTTCGTGAATACCTTTGGAACTTATTTTTGATCATATTTGGCAATTATTCTTACTTATCTTTGGAACTTATTTTTAAAAATCATCTTATTCATAATAATTTTTTTAAATTAAATTGTTTTTTATCATCTTCAAAATTTATTCTTAATTATCTTTAGTACTTTTTAATTGTAAATGGATTTAGTTTTTCACAATTTTTTCAATCATTATTTTATCTTTTTGGTTGAATTTGGTTGAATTATTATTATTATTAAACAGAACTTCTGGGGGATTTTAATCGCCTTATGAAGCCACACCCATCAGTACTTCCCCTCACGATACGTGTACAATCACGCCTGGGGTCGTCTGTTTGTAACCCGCCTAGGGCATGTTGAATATACGAACCTTTAGAAGAAGCATAAGACGATGAGAGGGATCCTAGAGAGGAACTACTAGACATGGATAATGTTGATGCTGAGAGTAGTTTCAACTGAGATTCTAGCGTAGACACACTTCTCATCGAATCCTTCAACTGCTGAAGCAAAAACCTTTTCTCTTCATCGATCTTTAATCTAAAAAATAGGGATTTTTTACATTTAAACAGTAGTTTCTTTTTCTGTGACAAGTTTGTTAATGTCATCAAGGGGAATTAAAAGGGACATGCCCTATTCCCATTGTGGAAGATTTCGTCATTTTCGACAATTTATTCTATTGCTTCTGCAGCAGAAATCAAGTTCATCCAAGACAAAAGAGATCGAGACTGATCCAATAAAAAGTGCTAACTTTAGTGAGGCTTTAATAATGAACCAAGAATCAAAAGCAATTATCAATAATAATTGGTGAAATGTACCTGTCTGCTATACATTTGTTAGATATCCGCATAGCACAGTTTAAATCCGATTCAAGATTCAATATTTTAGTTCGAACTTGTTCCAGGTCTCCACTACTCCTATTCCGGGAACTCAGGGACCTACAACATACAAGTAGCATCTCGGTTTCTCAAGGGATGTATATTTTCTTAACATTCA